CAATTCCACTTAATTTGCTCTTTCCCATAGCACTTACAGTTATGAACAAATTGATTAACATTTTTGAAAGCCGTTGAAAACGACCAGATTTACTTGGCCAACTCAAAAGTTCTATAGATATAGAACGTCAATCGAAAAATTAGCATTCAAATCGGAATCGGTGAATGATGAGACAAACTGATCGAAATGAAAACTTTGACATCGCCACAGCACTTCTAGAGAGCTTTATTGGAGCTGGAAGAGGACAGCTGACACATAACTGATAAGTTGACTATTTTTATCGACTTTGTGATATGAAAACTCAGTAAATATTCGCTGCACTTTTCTTAGCTCCACCCCAACACAGTGTTATATCAGAGCAGATCTTGATTAGCCTATTTCGAAAAAATTGTTAGCGTAGAAATCTCTAGTGCGGGAGCACATTTTTTTTTGAATACAAAGCAGAAATGAAGCAAAGCTTGAGTGATTGTTTTTACCAGAGATTGGGCTTCACTCCGAATTTTTCAGCGCGCAAAATGGCATAGATACGTGAAGCATGCTGATCATGCAAGCAAAGCCATAAAATTGTTATCTTTTTTCTTCAAGGTTTAATTATACGTACAAAAAGCACAGCAGGTGCTAACATGCTTATTATTAAGACAAAATTGCAGAAATACTTTAAATGTTCATGATATCGGATTAAGTTGGGAAGCAAGAGTATCGAGTACCTATGAATGCTCACAAAGACCATTTCGCCGGCAATTTGCAAGTAAAAATTGCGACCATCCCTTCCGAAAATTATAGAACACAGTCATGCACAAGGGCTTGGACTGCGGTCGGGATTAAATTTCAGACACCAGTCGAAAGGCTAGCAGACGCAAAGTTTAGTGTTTGGATAGACGTTCATAGGGAGAGCTGTTTAGAAATGTCATTCTTCATAGACAAAAGAAAACGGAAGTGCTTGGCTGATGAAAAGTTCAAAAGCTTAGGCATACAAATACCGGTTTCTTACTCGTCTTTTTTGCGTTCATATGGAATCAAAATAAATTGAGAAAACTTACAATCCCTGAGAAAAGCATTTGCCACCCAAGACATCGCAGGTTTGGAAGCCAAAGAGGTACTTGAAATTCTTAACCATTCTCTCAGCTTATCTGCTAACCCAAGCTTGCATTTGAAAGCCGTGGAAAACCAATGCAAAAGTGAGGTAAAAGTGAGGTTTCCTAGTCATATGGAAATTAACGCCACTAAAACCAAAAATCAAGATCCCTAAGTTTTGATGACTTTCAATATAAAGTCGCACTCCTTCTTAGTGCTGAGGCAAGTATAAACATGCAAGCCTTTCATCTCAAATGCAGAAGTTTTCAACGAAAAAAGATGGAAAAGAAAGAAAAATTCTTAGAAGTTCCATGAGTCATTCCAGAGAAAAACCTACAATTCAGCACTTAAACAACCTTTTTTCTTTCTCTTTCACACTTATATAATGGTACCTATGATCTGTAGAATGAGTACGAGAATCAAAATGTCCGCAGTTATTGGAGGCCGAGACAACCATTGAAACTAAGGGGAGTTCTGCCATCAACTGGGAAAACATTGTGTGTGTCATGCACTCTGCCAGACCTCAATCCTCGCCCACACTTCAGCCGAGATCATCGAAAAAAGTGAATACGTACTTTACTCCACGAGATTATACATAATAAATCCATCCTAGTTAGTCATCCACCTTAGTCGAAATCACTTAATTCAAAAATAGCAACAAATTTTCTACCAAAAATTGATAATGTGGTATCCACATAACTTTGAATGAAAGTTTTTCTCAACGCTAAGAAGATTATGGGGGTAAGGGTGACAGAGGAAATAGCGCGATAAATCTTATTGAGTTGGCCCACTGAGTTTCGCATCTGGCAGATTGAAAAGAATTTCCATAATTTCCGGCCATTTCAGGGGTTGTGCAAGTAATGAATAGGCGCTGAGGAAAGTGTTCCCAAAGCCTTTTCAAATCTAGGGGTTTGCTAAGATTTCTCAGTTTCTCTTCCATACGCAAAAAAGTAAGCTGTTGACCGAACAATGATGTAAGTTCCTACATCGTCTGACTTTTATACTTTCAAAATCAAAAAGTGTTTTAGTTGCTTTGAACACCCAGCAAAGTACGTTTGCCAAGAATTGATTCTACATGAGACCAGATTGTTCATTCGAATGTTTCGACACTGTAGGCATTTTGGGAAAGTCTTGAACATCTTCGCGTTTACATAAACTCAAAAATCGAAAATTATTATGAAATATGAATTTTGACTATTTCTCGGTTTCGATACCAATTTCCAATGTTGTGAGTTTATTCTGAAAGTAGCAAAGTGAACGAACTCAGTTACATTCTAGAAAACTTTGACGTATTTTTCATCTCGAGAGAGCCAGAAGAAAGCGCATTTTGTCGAAAAATTTGTCTAGAAAATGTTTTATCAAGCAAAAGTTCTTTAATTTCTACAAATAGAACTATGTATTGTTTCAAATCAAATCTAAACTATTATCTGCAAGTGAAGTATTGAAGGAGGACCTCTCATAACAAAAGCAAGAGAAGATTCGAGTATTTATCTAGCAATTCAAGTAAAAATTCTGCAAGAGAAAATTTGCGCCATAAGTAAGAAAAGCTCTGTAAGTGTAAGCCATGTAATCTTGAAGTGCTTATCGACTGATTTGTGCAAATTTGGTAAAAGTTCTGCTAAAAGGGGTAAACTAAGAATCTCTCACGACAGAGAGTACTACAAACTGGAGATGTTTCTTGTCCAGCTAAGGTAAGTAACTTCAAATAGCACACTGAAAAATTAACACTGGAATTTTAATGCTTTCCAATTACTTCTTGACAATTTACAAGCCAAACACTTTCATGCCAAAATATATATCCATCTCCATCTAAATACTCAAAATGAACAGGTATACGAATCTTCCTTCCTTCCTGAGAATCGAGAAGAGTTTGTGATTTCTTTTACCCGTCTAGAGGCAAAAAGAGATTAATAATAATTTCTCTGCCAAGAAAATTTTTATAAAATTTCACCAATATTTATACATACACCATGACTGAGATTTGAAGAGAAGGAAACCTAAACGGGGAATAGTGTAGCTTTACCTTCTCCATCTCCTTCTGGGCCGACAAGTCAAAGAATATTATTTGCTTCTATGAAGAAGTTGACTATTCGATGACACAGCTTGATGGGTTTTTGGTGCACAATCTCGAAGGAAAACAGTGCTTAGACGCTTGTTCACATGAAATCGTTCCAGTTGTCCCATCACTTAGTAGAAATGCAAACACTGTTCCTGAGCGATATGACAATACCACATATATTTGACAATATACTCAGCAATCTATTTGTCGAATATTATCATGCATAACTTTATGAACAGAGAGGGTATGCAAAGTTCAACGTACACTCAAACATCAAAGTTCAAGAGATTTAATTTTCAGAAAAAGGAAAAGGCATGGCTGAGCGAGGCGCAAGATTGGCACTGCGGGTTGTCTTCGCCCGATTAAAGTCGTGAAAAAATCCCAGCCAAAAAAGTCGAACTGATATTAGCGGAGCCACAGAAAAACCGCACAAAGCACGGCACCACGACGGCGCCGAGGAGTGATTTGATTAACAGGCAGGTTCTCTAGTCGACATTAATTCGAACGCAATCAGCCATGATAGTTAGTTGATTGGAAACTCAGTGATTGACATGCAAACAAGGCATCGAAGAGAACGAGAGCCGGGCAGAAAAGAGGGGAGTCTGTTGGGGTCTGGGAAAAACCCCACGCCACACAGCACCTATTGTTAACCTCCTGTAACTGCATATTCAATGATGCAAAGAACATTTTGTTTTTTACTTGCATCATTCGCACATTGCGGACATAATTGCATTTGTTACGAGTGGGTTTTGAAAGTGCACTCATAGCAAAACCAAATTTGGAGAAAAGTCCCCTTCGTGGATTCAAACACACTACCCAGTTAGCGATCAATATATACTGTAGAGTCATTTCGTGACTAACATGTGCAGATGCACACACTATCGCCATTGCGCGTGAAGTTCTGGATCACTAAGCAGTTGAGCAAGACTACGCCTTGCTTTTGAATAACTTTAGCCTTCTTCCTCACTTTTTTCTTTGATTCAATAACATATGTAGAGGGATTTCGCAGAATATATTTAGTAAGATACAAGACATTTTCATGTTGCAAAAGAATAAATGATTTGTACATTTGCACATATTAGATTACACAATTGAGGAGACGTCCTTTATGCGCTACAGTATCCAGCATACACCCTGCGTGATTTGCCTAAACACGTCTCGGCGGCAATTTCTCGCCCTTTTGCTTTTGACGCATACGATCGCCGCAGTGTAGCGAGCCACGGCGGTCCTGCACAGAAGTGCCCCAACTCCGTACGGTCGTGTGAATGGGCCCATACCCCACTAAATGCTTTTTTGTGTCTTAATGTTACTATTTGTTTACACGCCCCCAGAAGAGCATTCAATAAGGATTGCACAGAAAATATTGTGTGCACAAGTCATTTGTAGCTTAATATGTGAGGCTGCACACTGCGCGCGGCAAACGACGACACATTGTTACTGACTCGTCAGTAAAAACTTTCAAGCGGAACAAGCTGTGGAAATCTGTGCTTCTGCCTAATCTATATTCAAGCAAATCAAAAGAGAGAATTAAACCTGGAGAAGTCCTCGGAAATAATCAACAATAATTTTTTGCGACTCGTAAAGTAGAGAGCCTGGTGTGCAGTACACATATTATGTTACAAATGACTCGACGTAATTAATTAAAACTTGTGCATGTTGCGCGCAGTATGGATTATGTCTGCATTTGCTCCCATCAGGTTATGAAACAGTTATAGAATAAGTCTAAACAAAGAGTGAAAATATATTGTTTGGAGCGCTCCAGAACTTGAGAATGCGCATAGATGACTCATTCACCGAAACGTGCGCTGTCCGGGTCGAACTTTCGAGGCGATGACGTTTCGGTACTGCAAAAAGTGTTGAAGTAGCACTAACCATAATCAAAATGACGTCGATGGTCCTCGTCCGTTCGCACTTCGGTAGGGTTGAAAAACGAACACAAATGAACCGGCAACGCTCCCAAACCAAAAACCGCAGCATGCGCTGCCCAGTAACCCTAAAAACGTTGCATCACGTTGACAAATTCGTGCAGTACTTTTTTTGAGATGCGTTCGTCAAATCTTGCAAAATGTAGGAATATTTGGAATATCATGTCAAAATAATGCCATTGACAGCCAATTAGATCTTTTATCAAGTAACTATGACAGCAAGTGTTTTACCATCAGCAATTCATAGGCATAGAGCATATGCATAGATGTATAAACCCATCAATGTGATTTAATAGTCTATATGGAGATGCGGGTTCTTTGCTTATGCTCAAAGGAAACTTCTCACAATTAGACACCTCTTCACTTTCGTTAGTGCACATTGTGCGAATATGATCTTATCCGATTATTCGTTTGGCTAGAATAACCATACTTTATCCTTCAAAATTTCCTTACCATAAGCAGTAAAATTCAGCAACTAATGAGCACTTTTCGCAGATCCACAGTTCTCAGGTCGGTAGCCAACAGCCATATAATGAATTTAGCATTTAATAATATTGCCTTTCATGCTCAGCTCGCAGCCTCATCAAAGTTGCTTCCAAAATCCGCGATTCAAAATAGGACCTCATATGATGCGCGTTAAGAGATGATCTGCTGCAAGCGTTTATCGGATGAGAATTTTGAAAAAACGCGGAAAATACAGATTCAAAGAGCGTTTGATGTCCCGAACAAGCTCTAGCGGTAGTCAGCCTATAAACTTTAATTCAACTGGATTGGCGGCTGGAAGGCGGGGCTTTGTGACCTAATTAGAACCGCTCGCACCCGCTACGCAGTCTGCGTCTCTCCCGCGCACGTCCTGTCTGATCATTACCTAGCCTTGATTACGTTACGAAGCCCCGCCTTCCAGCCGCCAAGCTAGTAGTTACAGCATCTCAGAGACGTCAAAGAAGACGGTCAAAATAGATAACATCTGTAAATGTACGTGAAATTCTGATTGTAGATGGATTTTGCAAGTACACACGCTTCAATAAGGATGGATCCAGAATTTTTTTGCCAAAGCCGCGCCAGCGCTGTGTTAACTTCGTGACGGAATCCACAAGGAGACGATTGGCACTATGGCACAGCGGTAGCACGGACTAGCACGGCGCTGGAACGGTGTTGCACAACACTGGCACGCATGCTCTAGACGTGCTTTACTTGCTGTAAATCCTTTTATAGGCACACTTTTGAATTTACTAGAATCACGAATAGTTTCATCCAGATATTTTTTGATTGCTTTGTATCCACTAAGTGATGACGCAAGGCGTGATTGCTTTGCTTGCAAAATCCACAAATTGCACATGCAAAATATCACGACGTCAAAATGATTTCACCTAAATACTTTCCAGGGTGTGTCTATGCCAACTTTCATAATCGAAATTTGAGAGAATGAATAATTGTGCAAATTTGGTCTTTCATCTTCAATTTGAATAGTTTTTTTGTTTTTCATTCACATGTTACCATTGTTAAGAATAAAATAACATACCTGCCACTGACTAGGAGTAAGTGACGAAGCCAAATAGCACAGCCACTGTTCCCATGTGGCAGAGAGCTGTTCAGCCGGAAGAAGTCCACAGGAAAACAGATGGGCAGGTGACGAAAGCAGGATTTCCTGCAAAATGTTTCATTTGCCTTCTGTTCTTGTTTTCAAAGCTGGGCGTCTATGAACTGACAATAAAGATTGTAGAAAAGTGTTCTAGTAAAAAACCGATAAGATATATTGGAACTGCGACACGACAGAGCAGTACTTTTTATCCATGGGTCAGCAAGAAGAAATATTCTGTCTTTTTTGGATCTGCATCTTTGTAGATTAAGAGAATAAAAGGATATAGCGATATAACAATAGCTTCAAAATCGAAAAAGTGCGGATATATAATCAAGCAATTCGTTTTGTTGACAAACACCAAGAAGTCAAAGACCATCTGTGCACTGACTCATTCCAGACTAGAAAATAGGCCTTCGTGGCTGTTTAGCCCTCACACATGCACGAAAATTGCATGGGAAAAACTCGTCAAATTTCTGAATTTTCTCATGTGCATAGATATCTCTTTCCTCAAATTCGGGAAGCGTGACTATTTTTTAGGACCTTCTGCTTCTTTTAGCATCAGTTTCCGCGCGTTACCTTCCAAATGTTAGGTTGTAAAGAAAGTTCCCAGACACTTGCGAAAATTTTTTTCAAATTGCTGTAACTTTAAGCAGACTGATTTTTTTTCAAAGCTACAAACTTCATTGCAAAGATAATTTTGGCTACAACATATATTTGTCTTGGTGGCTTCTCAGCACCTCACTGCGGTCCACCAGCATGCGCAGAATGGAAAAAGGTCGTCGCGAAAAGTGGTCTATTTGTGCAGGATTATTTCAGGCAAGATGAGAGCTGGAAAGCCCAGATGCTGTAGTTATATAGAAGTCTGCTGGGGCTGTTATGAGGACCATTCATGTCTTCAAGGGGCCACCTGCAAAAAAAATTTTCCGGAAAGTTCGAAAAATCGACCATTTTTGCCCCTAAAAATGCACCATTTTTCGAGTAAGTGACTTCGAAGTCTTGTCGTTCTGCATAAGGTACCAAATCTTTGATTATTGCGAAAATTGTTGGGGTAATGCCTTACACATCTTCTGAACCCATCATTCGGGCGCGGCGATCCTTACAGAAGCGACGCCAGCTGCGAAAAGAGTTGCAGTCAGAGGCAAATTCGACAGCTTGTAAATTCTGAGCGCAAATCGCAACACTCGATGCAGTTGCTGGCTTGAAATCAACAGGTTCCTTAATCAGATCACTTACAATTTGGACGAATTTCTTTGAACTGCACAAAAAAATGGCCGTAGGAAGAGAAATTGTGAAGTTTTTGTATCTCAAATGATTTCTCTTCTTGATGTGCAGATCGAACACGTCTTGGAATCGATAAAAGTCAGAAGGCATATTGAAAACTTCAGGCTTCCCTCTACCGAACAGTTTAAAAAACTTGATGTCAAAGTCTGAACGAGCGCCGAAAAAATGCGTTTGAAAATGAAATTTCCAAAAGTGCCCGGGAACTTTCTTTACAACCTAATAAATCTTCTGCAAAGCTTGTAAATTCTTTCAAAAAAAGCTGCGTAGGCAGAAATCGTGGAGTTCTGTACTATCGTAGATATAAATGCAAAACTGCATTTTTAGCCTTCAATAAAATCCACCATATACTCCAGACATCTCTTTCAGATTAATGAAGCATTTCAATTAATATCTGCGTTACTTCTCTCAAGCAGCAAAAATTTCATAAAATAGACACTAAACTCATTCTACTTGATTCAAATATCATTCGAATAATGGTACGAAGTAGGAATTAGTTACCAACCTCCTAGTGCCAAAATCTCGCTCATTTTTGACGGTTTGTAAAAGTTGTTTCAAATATGGAAAGAAAAAATGGAAAGCGTAATTGAAGTGAGACAGTTTCGAACAGCAAAAATACTTTTTTACGAGTAGAAAGGAAGGATATTCTCATCGAGTTCTCAAGAAAGATGTACAGTACAGAATTGAGATACACATTTTTTTGTACTTTAAGCAATTGCATGATTTTGGATGGTCAAAATTTGCAATCTGAACTGACCAAAAACATTTAGAACGAAAGAAAATGACAAACTGCAGGCAATTTTCATTGTAGTTTGTTTTAGTCAAAGCTTATGTATATTCAAACACCATACTACTTTTTCGTAAATTCATTGCAGCACGCAAACGGAACTTAGAGAATCAAAAAAGTGATTCTTACGGCAGAACTGTCTATTACTGATAAACTTGGATAATTGATGTGTAATAGTAGAGGATCGAAGCTGCTTTTCCAGCTTTAATTTCACCTAAGTAACAGGTCACAAAACTTGTAGCTGTGTGTCATGTCAAGAATTTTTGTCGCACCTGCGAGCCCGAGGTTTTCGAAAGTCTGCCAAATTTGAATGGTTGAGTTATTATCACCGTAAATAAATTAGAGATCCACCAAATGCAGTCAAGATTTTTCGTAGACTGATAAAAATTGTGATATGTAGGAGCACGAAGTGTTTGGGATTAGTAGGTATGCTGGGCTATGATTGTGTTAGTTAAAATGCATTTACCATGACGTACTATTTGTCTTCTATTCTGGTAGCAGTTGTACTCTACGGTAACTCAATCAAATGTTATTTATAAGAACAGGAATATGTGTCATGGTAGTGTTTTATGGCTCTCTAAACTAACTGGTAGGTTCCAACAAGCTTGAAGTTATCGGGTAAGTTCCATCTTCATCTTGTTAAGATTCGTAATTCGTCCAGTTTGAAGCATATGCGCAGGGTCTGATAAGGGGAAATCATGCGCTTTGTACTGGAACTGAAACCAAATATCCAAAACATCAAGGACAATCAAAATAATAACGATTTACTCCTTTTTTGCAATTCCGTGGGCCGTAATGTCAACCGGTTGCCATAGATCCCGTTGTCAGATACATCAATTTTTTCTTTCATACAGAGATTTTTCAATGTGGGAAAGTGTCTTCAAAAAGGCGTGGATTTTTGAATAATGATAAAAAACTAAGTTTTTCTGGCAAATATACATCGTAATATATCGTATTACATATACCACATAGGGTGAGTGAGATTGAAGCTTTCCATCTCTTTTTGGAACTATTCAAAAGAGAATATCAACAAGTGCTTCAAATGGCCCTTCTTTATCGAGCAGCTATAGAACCAACTGTGTTTTTCAAGCTGAAAGAATTGCAGATTGAGAGAGAGCCTTCAAATTCTACTGTTTGCATAGATGTGACCAAAAATTTTAAGACATGATACTTCGAAGCGGCAAACGCTTAAACGCTTGATTACCTTGAAAAAATCAGGGTTTGATGCTATTCGATTTTGAATTTGTTGATTATAGGGTTAGTGTACAACGCACTTTTGCTTTACATATTTTTCTAGAAGTTGAGGGTTTCCGGAAAAATCATTCAAAAACCCCGGAAGGCTAGTTGGAAAAGACTTAGAAGAGATTTGCGCTAAAAATATCCTCCTCTAATTTAGTGTGATCAAAAGCTCGAAACTAGAACTGAATTTATAGCTAGAAAGATAAAAAGCAATCAGATAACAAAAGCAAAAACTGGGTCAGAGCTTCTGATGTTTTACGAGCAATCGTGAAGAAAATCTTGATGACATAAGCATTGTTAGAAAGAGGAGAAAATGAGCGCTAAACATCTTTCGAAAAACTTGTTTGTCATTATTATTCACCAGATTTGCGGTAAGGCAGAAATTGAGGACGAAAATTCTCATTATTAGGTTGGCACATAAGCCCGAAACTGCATCCAGATTTTTGATAGAAGAATTCCAATTGATCTATACAGTTTCGGCTTTATGGGCTTGATTCAATCTGAAAGGCTACTCAAAATTTCGAATTTGACCTGCTTAAATGGCTTGAATTTTCTCCACTTCGCTACCAAAATTAAACTGTTTGCGCAGATTTGTGGCCTGTTACCTAGTTTACGTTAAACCCGAAAACGAATGCGTCAGATTCAAAAAGTGAAAAGTTACAAAATTAGTTGCGAAACTTATGTGCCAGCCTATTACTCAACCTAGTACCTCGTGCTGTAGATGTATCTTTTTTTTGAATAACATATAGTTTGACTAAAAGGGTGTAGCCAAATTCTGAAAACAGAAGTGCATGCTTCCGGAAAAATTTCATCCAACCCCTCTGAGAAATTTTACATTCCTTTAGGATCTGACCATCATGATCACTGTCCAAGAATAGCCGTGGCTGACCATTGTGGGGTGTGTTTGTGTACACAAATCAGCATCGATCGTCACCATCGGACAATAGGAGAAGGATTCACACAAGAGAGCCCCTCACCTGTAAGTATGCATCGCTGTAATGGTGAGATGCTGAGCTGAATTTGAAATCGGAAGTAGACGGTTGGTCAGTTGCGAACTCGTCCTCGGAGCGATTCTGCTCCGTCGATGGACGTGATGCTAGAGATCCTTGAGAGTCGTCAGCACGAGATGTGCCTAAAATACAGATGTTCTACTAAAATTAAGTCAAAATCAAAGGCAGAATAGAGAATCAGTCCTTGAATTCAAAAAGAATATTGGTTTACACGATATTTCTGAAAAGAACTCAGACTTTGATGGTATGCTTTTGCCCAATGAATATAATAAGGCAGTGGACTGTTTATGTCAAATTAAAATTTGTCCTATTTCAAAATTAAGATTATAGATTTGTGTCAACATAGAAAAAAATTTTGATCACGATAACTATAATTTCACACAGTCATGAATAACACACAATTGTGACCGAATATTCGTACAATGAGTGATAAAAACCTTCTGAAATCTAAAATATGACCAGGAAGAGCTCAGCACTCATTAACAGTCGTACTATCGATAGGATCAAATGTACAAACAGACCATTAAGATCATCATTTTAGATGACAATCTCTCTAAGAACTGCTACAGGACTTCCAAACTTCAAACTTACTAGAGCTTTGAAAGTCACGTTATTTATATTGGAGTTTGAAATTTCAAAAGGCAAAAGTCTTTTACATAAACTTTTGTAAGTATAAAACTAGCCTCTTTGCTGATTTAATGAAATACATTTCAAATAATATTTGAACTGAAAATATCATTCAAAAAGTCAAGAAGAACAAGATTTTACTATGCTGTATCCTTATGCGTATGTTACTCTCTATAGAAAATCATCATGTGGCCATCATATTTATATTATAATCATCATATTTACTCAGATTAGTTATAAAATGTCCTTCGTGAGTTACACATATTATGACAACACCGAGCTGAAATTTGGTTTTTACTGTTTTGGTGGATTTCGAATTTTCCAAGCAGGATTAAAATGATTTAAATTCGCAAAATGAGTTGATCGTGACATACTTGGAGTTTCTTCAACAGAAGCCATGAAAACATCTTCTCCATCCATTAGCCAAGGATTGCAGGTGAACTGAAATCAGATTCACATTGTCATATCAACTGGTGCAAAACTGAACAGGATCCATAAATACTAGCTGATAGTTTCGATAATTCACAAAAAGAGGGGTGAGCACTAGATCGTCTACAGATTCAACAACTTCGCTGATTTCTGTAAGGAAACTAAGAATAACTGTTTCTTTCTTTAGGATCCGCGATGAAGAGAGACAGGACGGATGAGGAAACGACGGGGGTGAACACACGACGATCAGAGGGGCCGTGGACCGTACCATTCAGCGCCGACCCGAATCACAGCCCTGCAATGCACCTTGTGCAAACATCAACCCAATCGGTCGAGCACTTCCTCGGAAAAGTTCCTTGTCGACGGCTTTTTGTCGCGGTAGGCGGTAGGCGCAAACCACGAAATACACTGAAGTGACCGTTGGATAAATTTAGAGCCCCCGCTCAACACCAGCATCCGCGTTTTCCATTCTGGGCTTGTGTAAATGTTTGAAAGGGAAAAAGAAGGAAGTCTGAGCAAACGTGGGGGGATATTGAAACTCCAAATTCTCCTCCATCCTTCGAAAGAACCTCGAACTACAACCTCGAACTTCGTTTGCCATTGAAGAATCACTCCACATACAAGCGCATTTCTCTTCACTTTCCTCTTTGTTTGCTTTCCTTGGCAGCCTTCCACGATTCTGATCGCACTGTACTCGTACTATCAAAAATCGTAATCTCCCCATTATGTATTCCGGATCTTAATAAATACTAGAGCGTTCACAACAGAAAATTCGTTTGATAGTGATCGTCAAAGTAATTCAATTTATCAACATTAGCATTACCAGACGAGCAACATTCAATTTATGCTTATTATGCATTCGGATAAAACGCCTTCTAAGAATATTTTACCCTAAGTGGCCCAAACGTCGTTACTTCTGTAATGACCCATGAGCGACTCTCCATCTTGCCATTTTCAAGATGTTTGTTTTTGATTGCTTCAGACAGACCAAGATTGTACTCTATTTGGTTAACGTTTCGGCTTTTTCGCCGTCGTCAGAGCTTAGAAGAGGAGAACCCTTGAGATTTGTCTTCCCAATGCTCTATTATATCTGAATAAGCAACAATAAGCTGGACAGAATGTATAACACTGCCGGGACGGAATAGCTCACTTTACAAACTTAACGGGGGAATTACCACTCACTCTAGGGATGGAATGATGCGCCTATGCGGCACTGACGGACCAGGGGAGGGGGCCTCACCGCTAATGGATTGCGAAATTTCTGAATTTTTGGCTACTTACACGCGTTACAAAAATTTGCAAATGACTTCTGTATACTTCTAAATGATTACATTAATTTTTAAAAATTTTCGAAATTCAGTTCACCGCAAAAATTTCCAAAGTTGGCTAGTGCCGTGTAACTCCGTCGGAATATTTGTTTCTCTCGCCCTCACACGGAAATCCTGGGGCCGCTACTGCTACGCGGATATGGGTCAGAACCGATATAGCTCCAGGAATGGTGCAAGTTCGTTTGTGATGGCTATGCAATCCTCTTTTCTGTTCATCTGAGGACTTCTAATCGAAATCCAACACGCTTCCAAAGTTTTTCGCTCCTTCACTTGGTTCTTTTGGCAGAAGTGTCACTTCTTCTAACTTCTTGTCAACGATTTGCTTGGAAATAGTTATGTTAGCTAAGGATAAGCTGTAATTGCACTTACTATAGCCAGTCGTCAGATGGGGGCGGAGAGAAAGTGGGACCTAGACTGCAGTGCAATTGGAACAGTGCAACAGAGAGATTTCATTGCGTTATTTTCAAAAAGAAGAAAAGTCGGTTCTCGAAAGTCTCTAGGGACTCTGATAATAAACCCAGACTCCCTATCATGGAAAAGTGTTGCTTTGCTGCGAAGCAATCACCTTCTGCTTGCTCTCACTCGCTTTCTTTCTCCAGTTTTAAATCCGTAACGAAATTGAAGGATATACATTTGAGCAATTTGTAGGTGACACCATAGAAGGCATAACATTCATTTCGCTCTCCTTGGTCGCAGTAAGATAATTTACGTAACTTTACAATCAAAATGAAGACAAATTTGGAAAATGCTGCGGCAAATAGTGAAATTGTAGAACTTCATTTAAGCTTATCGCTTCACAGACAATTACTCTTTATTCTGGCTTGCCACACAAAGGTGAGCTAGCTTTGACTCAATGTATGGCAGAAAATCTCTTTCTCTTTCCTAAGCGCACTATCGACCGCAATATGTGGCGTGCATTCAGTACTACATTTGATTACTCTGGAAAATGATATGCTAATGAAATTTCTGCACATGCAAATTGATTAATTTTATGGAGCGCTGCAAAGTTATCCGATCGATCAAAGTAACTCTGCTGATGAAACAGTGATACAAAACATAATGTCGGGAACGATACGGTTATGCCCATGAAAACCTATAACGACATTAAGTCTCCAATTTTGTCGGGTTCTGCGTATAGTGGTTGTGCACAACCAAGCAGGTCAGGGAAACCCATCGTTGCAGTGACGAGCCTTTGTGAAGAGCTGCCATAGCTGAGCCCTATACTTGGTCAGCGCGTCGGCTGCTGATTGGGCAAGCTTTGTATAGAACGCAAACGCGGAAGTCCGAGTGGTGCAGCAAGCATACTCGCACTTTTGTGAAAATTTTTATCTCTAACAGGAGATAGAAGTTGTTGCAAATGATTTCACACTTTTCATCTTATTTGTTCATCATGGGATTGGGATGTAACTCATCCACATTTCAGCGACGACTCAAGCACTCGAAAGATTTAAAACGGCGTAGACCCGTAAGAACGGTGTTTTTACTACAGCAGTAAATGTTCGATTCTCATTTAGAACATTAACTGCTGTACTTCTATCGTGCCTCTTTGAAGGCACCGTCCACCCTAGATTGAGGGTGTTGAGCTTTTGGAAGCATATAATAGTAGGGCCCCCTATCAATCCCATACCCAAGTCGCAGCGCAAAAATCCGCTTCGGAAGCGAGAAAATCGCTTCGGAATTGCGAAGATGCACGAGGACCCCCATCCATGCCCGCCCTCCCCCATCCATGCCCGCCCCTTTGTGCGCGCCCATCCAATCACCGTTCCGGAAAGCCGGCCTGTGGGTTCTCCGGAACGGATATTGTCGGGGTTTTCGAGCATTCTCGACTTCAGATTTGGAATCAGGGACGTGAGATGGCCCTGAAACGACAAAAACGTGGAAGTCGAATATCTGGGTGGACGGTGCCTTTAAGGATGTAGAGCCTTCCGCATGACCACTTGATTGGCCTTACGATAAGACTAGCGATTTACTATGGGTAGCTCAATAGCTCATAATAATTGAAGAAGTCGACGAGGATGCAATTTCCCACAACTTTTTACATCAAATTATGGTCAGCATCATCATACGAGACTTCCCTTTCGACTAGTACCGATGTTGGCAACTTTTAGACATAATAGACATATAATATCAGACAATCTCCTAGCAAGCACTTCTGACGTGGAACTTCTGACGTGCGTTTATCAATACCAAAATCGATTCAGGTTCGCATCTATAGGTGAACCAATGTCCGAAACAGCAGACCGGAAGTTCTTTTAAATCTCCGTTATGAATAGTTCGCGTACATGACGCGTTAAGCCTCGGGCATACTTCACTCGATTTCAGTCGCGACGCGATTTGGCGATATTCCAATCGTTTATAATTCATTGTAAACCCCTTGTCAATGTACAGAAGATAGATATCTTATCAGTCTGCGAACGTCATACACATTAAAGGCAGTGTCTCACCAAAGTTAAGGTCGCGCGGATCTCCACATATTCTGTAATAGGGAGCTCCAAATAGGCCATTGCAACAAGTCCCACTTGATTTGACCCCCTCCACGCTGAGAAAAATTCGCTCAAAGTGGTACTCGGAGAGCCAGTTGGTACGCGCGGACGACTCCTTCAGTCTCCCCCCTTACGCGTGTGAACATGTCCCTCCACTTGGCATCCACCTCCCCTCTGTTGCCGCCACTATGGCTGAGGCTGAAGTTGGAAGGTACAACTCGTCCACGTTGCTTCCGCGGGGCCTCCAGAAAACGGGGTTTTTGGGAACTTCGTAGGATTTTAAACCTATACAGTGCTAGACAGGGTCCGACAGGCTCGAAAAAGCAAAAATCTCGGCAACTAAATTTTGGTGAGACACTGCCTTTAAGGGCCGGGCATACTTCACGCAATTTCAGTCGCGACGCGATTTGGCTTCCAACTGTCCATAACTCACTGTAAGCACATTTCAAATGTACAGAAGATAGGGCATTTTATCAATCTATGTAATTTATACAAACTTTGCATGAGCAGTTTGTTAGTGTTGGATTTGAAGACTTCTGGCGAATTGCCAGGTCGCGGCGCGACTGAAATCGCGCGAAGTATGCCCGGCCTTTATGTGATTGTAGTCTGCAAGTGTTGCCATTGAAGACACTTGGCAAATTGCCAAATCGCGCACGACTCAAATCGCGTGAAGTGTGCCCTAGGCCTTAGACTTAGTATCGTGCCCAAATAGTGGTACCAGCAGTAGATGACTGAAAGCTGTTTCATTTGCTCACAATAAGAGGATTTAATCCAGCTAGAGTATCCTGAATAGGCTTAAGTCATAATTCTTATAACTTTGTAAAGATTCAAAGCCTTGTTATATTTTTCGCAAGTCAACTTCAAAATTGCAAAACTAATCATGATATCCATCAGCTTTGTCCTACAGATGGCATCATATTCATGTTAAGCAGTGGTAGGAAAGCAAAGAAGCAAATCTTTGATTGAATATGAATTAAATGAATACGCGAATTTTGCGAGGAAGTTTCAAAATTTTCAATTTGAAGAGACAAAACTTTCGGAATAACCCAATGTATATAGGAACTCGCTCATTGTCAGACATGCATTAATTTGATAAATTTAGATTTGAGAGAGTGCTGGTAAACATTACAATCCTACATGTGACAAAAATGTGAAACACATACCATGAAATGATTTAATGGTCTTTATGTCGTTGCTCACACAGTGGCCACAGATTGATAAAGAGCCAAAACACATTATTTGGGTACTTTAGTACGGTGACGATGCTGAAGTACGTCACGGCGTGTTATTAAAAAATGCTGCCCCTATCACGTGAACCATGAATCAACCTTTTATCCAAGTTATTTTCAAACTTTGGTTCAGATAAAGTTGGGCCAGAGTGCGTACCTTCCCGCCCCCTCCCCCCCCCCCCCCCCCGCCTCCGCACCCATCATACTTACTGGATGGTACATCTAACAGATCTAACGGTAAATATGGTGTTCCTGGAGATGCTGACAATTGCCGACAACATTTGCACGCGAACAAATTGCTACGTCTGCTTGCCGGCAATCTGTGCGTGCAATTTTCCACCTCGTGGCAGTTTCTTCCATATCAGACAGTCGAAGGGTTACGAGCGAAAATGGGAGGGTCCCGGGCTCTGCCCAGCGAGGGTTTGCCACTCGTGCTCCGGGGCTCCTCCAATGGTGCCCCTGGAGCAGAGATTTACGAGCCCCGGGGGGGGGGGGGAGGTTCCATTGGCCTTCTTGTGACGTCACGGTGACGTCACGAGAAGGCCATGGGTGAATGGGAGGGTCCCGGAGCACGAAGTGGCAGACCCCCGCCATTTGCCCTCCGGAGGTATCCCTTCGACTGCCTGAGTAGTTGTCTGCAATTGTTGGTACCGCAGAATATCCTTATTGGATCTAGTAGAGATCTACCGCCTAATTATTTGTACTCGTAAATAATCAAAGTAGGGCTCGAAGATTTGTAAGAAGTTAGATTAGCCTTGCAAAAATTTTTTTAGAGTTTGTGGTTACTTCATACCATCTTTCTCGGGAATTTCAGAGTTATGGGCCCACAAAAATTGAAATATCAAAAATTTTGTGCGTGGATAACGTCACGCAGTTCATTCGAGAATTATTGTTTTCCACCCCCTTCCCGCCCTCCACATGGAAATGCTGGGAGACCGCCATGCAGTGGCGTACCTAGGATTGCGGCTCGGGGGGGGGGGGGGGAGAGCGACAACAAAGTTTAAGTTTTCCGATGAAGGTGCGTGGCGTCAGCCAGGCCCCCGAAAAAATTTCTTATAAGGCTAAAATGAATTTTCAAAAATTTTAAATATCATTTTGATTATTTACAAGTGCAGACAAGTCATTTGCACATTTTAATAACTCATGTAAGTAACTTTTAAAAGTTTCGCGACCCGTTCTCGGGGGGGGGGGGGTGGGCGCCCCCCCCCTCGGTACGCCACTGCCGCCATAGTATAGAGGGATAGTACTCTGCTGCGCAACTCCTTCATCTTTTTGTAAGCAGTTCGACACTATTGGAGTATTTTTCCAGAGTTTCAAAAACTGGCTGCTCGCAAGATGTCGATCACATACGCATGCAGAAGATTGAAGGCAATGTTTAGCAGAATTAAAGAATTTGGTGCTTTGTTTGTAGAAGATAACTGACCAATCAACTGAGCTCTGGATCAAGTCCGGATATGCAGCTGATCAAAATCATAAGGCAGTGGGCATAGTGCTCGTTCATGTGCGGGAAATCCGATGGTTTGAGCGACGAAATCGCGACGACAAATCTGCTCATCGCACGAACGTGGACATAGTATACGCGCGATTCTATGTCTTTACACGCACTGCAACTAAGTGCACGCGAACTAATTGAAATTTGTTTCCATGAGATATTACTTATTTCATTAACGTCAAGCCTTGCTGATGCCGATTGTGATAACACACGAGTAGAACATTTCCACAATTTGCTCATTTTCCAACAAGTCAATTTGTCAGAGCTGACAATTCTCGTGTGCGAATGTTGACCCCTGAAACCTAACAGCGCCAATTAGGACATTTCTTGCTAAGTTGTTGGCGGAACGAAGACCATGTAGGGTTTGTAATGTTTAGCAAACGTTTACATTGGCCTTTCCGGTAGAAGAAAATTAAGCACAGCACTGTAATTTCGTGCTGGTTGTTGCATTTTGCATTTACGCGTATAGCGAAACGGAATATACAAGCTTAACTTTGCAAAAAGCATACACATCAACATTCAAACCAGCCAGAAAAACACCCCGAAAAACGAAACAATTTGGAAAGGTATGGAAATCTTATCTGTATAACTGGCTCAGACTAGATTTCACTCTTCTCTAAACAAATCAAATTGAAACAGCAATGTATTTCTACAAAAGAAACTCTCAAGTCTTCTTAACTGCTCAGGATGTCGCCCAGTTGCCGGTGCAGGGACCAGCTGGCCGCGAAAGGCGGCTCAAACCGGCGGCTTTCGTTCCCCTACCCCAGCATGCGCGGTGCGACATTGCTGAGTTTTGCAGAAATCGCGGCGATTAGAGCTGGAGAAATATGCCCTAGTCTGCGATCCGTGCGCCGGAAGGCTACGCACAACCGCCCTGACGAACAGTGGTCGTGCGAGAATGCGTAACAGTTGTAGTTCCGCAAAAATCGCACAACGACAGAATCACGACCACTATGTCTTTGTTAGGCTTAAAGCGGGTAGGAGACAAACTCCACAATTTTGGGCCTTCTGCGCGGACGTGGTCCTTTCGCGATGTGTAGCATATTGCTTGAGGTAGTAATCCGCAGAGGTTGACGCCAAAAGTACAAAATTTCCTACCCTTTCTGCAAGACATTGCGCCTGTCATCATTTTCATGTCGAGCTTTCGCAAGTTGTCAAAGAGGCTCTTCGTTTACATATTCGGCAAGATCACAGGTTTCGAAATTTGGCGGTTGCGCAGAAGTTTTCTACCAATTTAGCTCTGGAGCAATGTCAAGCCGCATTGTGGGGCGACGATGTGTAAATGCAGAATAGCCGGATCTAGCTTCCTAGCTGGGCTCCAGTCTCCCCTACTGTCCATTTTCTCCCCAGTTTTGATTTACGTTCTAATGATAAATGTTGATAATCAAAAGCTACCTATCACGCTGAATTTTACTTTGAATAATCGTAACCGAATGGGGCAGTCCTCCGGATCGTCCTTGTTGTTTTCCATCTCAGTCATAAATGCAATCAAATGTTGCGAAATAAATCCTCAAAAGTGAATGAACATTTATGTCGTACATAGCAGGAAAATCTACTTAATTACTAGTGCCTGAGTAGATTCTTCCTCGTCCAATTCTGGCGTAAATTTCTTCCCCTTCGATTCCTAATGAAGGATTCAGCTGAATCTACTGCGCGTGGCCGCTCGCCGTCATTCCAGGTGCTTGGTCTGTAATGTATTATACTTTACGCCTATCACCTGTACTTTTCGTTCTTCATTCACGTGCCGTTTGTCATTTTGTTTATTTTCTTCCCTTTTCTTATGATTTGTCCATCGCATCTGTTCGAATCGTTTTGATTTGTCCTTGAATTGGCTGCTTCTGAACTAATAAGCCAAACCGCTTCATATTTGATCTTCTTGCACGGTGTTCTTTTTAACTGTCCCGATATATTTCAGTTGAATCAAAATCCAGTCTCCTAAGACCATGGCAGATGCAGTTGCTGAAAAACCTTGTTCATCTTCATCGAAGCCTAAGCCGGATTTCAATGACAGATTTAGAAAGTTGCACCAGCTGAGGGTTGGTTCTTCGTATTGGTTTGCTTTTTATGATAATTTCGCATATGTTTTATTAATTCTACTTTATTCAGCAACAGTCGCGGAAGGCGAATCATGAACAAGTTGTGGAGGAGGACAGAAAGAAGAAGTTACCCGCAAACTACGAGGCAAGGAAGGCTCGCGACGAGTGGGAGCTCCGCGAGATGGAAGAAAGGAAGGTACGTTGCACTTCTTGATCCAGAACTTTTTGCGAGATCGCCTAATTTGAAATAACGTCGTATTTTTCAGAAAGCTGAGGAACAAGGTCTAGACTACGAGCGCATAAAGGCTCTTAATACACCAGCTGATGTGGTGGCAAGAATAGAAATGAAAAGAAAGCGCAAGAAAAATCCTGACCAAGGCTTTTCAAGTGAGTTGTGCATCATGGAACCGTCGAAGGCTTTTCGATTACTGCACAATCAGTCTTCGAACAGTGTTTTGTTAACATTTACTTAACCATTAAGACATGCTTCCATTCATCATACCACTGAATTTTTTCGCATGGTCTCTGACAGGCATGTCATCCATATACAACCAATCAACTCAACGATCTTGCGACGAATTCGGCGATTGCTATTACTACTAACTTGAAATCGCGCATTATTTGCATCTTTATTTGATCATTGCTATCAAGCGTGCTTCAACTGAGTGCATAGAGTCTTCACAGAGTTGTACTTTTCTGAGTTTTACTGCCTTTCATTTATATCAATCGAATTCGGTAAAGCTTTGAAGGAACAATCGGCTGATCTGCCAATGTTCTGTAAAGGAGGATAGGGCTCCAAAAACTCAGAAGTTGATTTTTTGTGAATAATTTTTTACTAATTTTCATATCAGTGTATTTTCTCAAAATCAAAAAATCGTCAGCGATGGAACGTTAATGTATGAGAGTGATTAGTAGCTTTAGGTTATCATGCTCCTTGGGCCTTTCCTCTCACCACCGTTGGTTTATTGTGAGGCAAAATATATTTCATTACTATTGCCCCAGTAAACCCAATCTGATCCTAATCTTTCTTAGCAAAGTTTGAAGTACAAGAAAAGGTTTTATTTGGAGCAAATGAAATGTGGATGATGTACGCATTTTACACTTCTCAGTGTTTGTGAGTATATGGACCTGATGTGCAAATGACGTCATTGCTTGTAGCATCTGTCAAATTACCTGTTGCCAGCTTATCAAATCCGAAAGTTTTTACATAGCACTCAGCACTCTTTTCAAAACACTATCATCGTAATTTCCGTTCCTCTTCCCCCCCCCCCCCCTCCCCCACCCCACTCTTCTTTCCCTCAGAAATTTTCTGTTCGCATTTCAGCTTACGAGGATATGACACTGCGTCAACATACACGTTTGACCACTGCATTGAAGCCTGATTCGGAATCATACAAAAAGATGCGACAAGTGGTGTAAGTGATTCTTTATTTTAGCCAATATGCTTGTCTGTTTTTTTTCCTCTTCGGCTTGCATCAGAGCTGCCCTTAGAAGAAACACCTTTCTGTGTCCATGTTTAGATTTGACTTATAAAAATTACTTCAAGTTCTACTCAAAGCCTATACGCTTGCATAAGCATCTTCCGGCCAATAGTTGCTCAATTTTTATATAGAGAAGAGCTGCGTGGTCGACCCGATCGTCCTTAGGGGTCCTTTGTAGTTCCGGAATTCATATTTGCTTTCGAACCATCAACTTGAGTTAATGTTGTAGCTTTCGTGTACAGTTGATATTTGTCCCGAGAATTCTGGCTAGAGACGAACAAAAAATATGAACTTTTTGAAGAGTTTCTGATAAATTGTTTCCTCTATCATTTTTGTACAGCTTTGTTTTTTTTTTGTAGGGGTGAAGATCAGTTCTATCCGACAGCAAATACTCTCATCCATGGTTCGCATTATCCAACATCGCAAGCAATGGAGAAGCTCGCTAGCGATGTGCAAGGACAGTAAGTGTCCTTGACTTCTTGAGTGTACCACGTCATATAATTATTGGTTCTGTTTTCCAGAGTCAAGCGACGAGAGCAATTCCATCGACGTCGTATGTTCGATCCAGATGCACCAATCGATTACATCAACGACAAGAACATGCGGTTCAACAAAAAGCTCGAGAAGTTTTATGGTCAGTATACGGAAGACATCAAGGTAAGTAAATTCACAAGTTTTAAGCCTATGTTTGCACCTCATAAAATTGATTTTTTATGAGAATGGATCATCTTCATGCTCACTTAGCTTCACTTTGAATGAAGAAAGTATGAATAGAAACGTAAAAATTTTCTTGTTCCAGGAGGACCTCGAACGTGGAACCGCTATCTAGAGAAAAGTGGCAATGTATCACTGTCTTGTTTGAGTTTTCGAATGACCTCTTATCTTATCTTCTGTATATAGTCGATTCATTCCATATGACCATGTGTGTATTGCACACAACGTCCATCTTTGGCGTTTCGATCCTGGCTTTGCAATAGCAAGAACGCAAGAGACTGATCGCTGTCATCGGTTACATACATAAAGAGGAAAATAAACATGAAGAAAACAACAAAAACACTTATCTGAAGGGGTATCTCTTCCCTTTTTTCAAGATAGGGGCGCCAAAAGTGGACAGTGCGTGCAATGACACCCATGATCACAAGAAATGATTAGACTGTATTTTTGTAGAGCTGATGTCAACACTATGCTGTATGTCTGCTTTCATGAACAAAAATGAATATTCGGATAAACTCCATCGCTTCGCAGGGCAGCAAATGTGAAGTGGTTCGGCAGAGGCGCTTTTCGGATCGAAAAGCTTGAATGTGTGTCACTAGGTGGCCCAGATTTGCGCGCACCTTTAGGGTGTTCTTTGATTTCTACAATTTGCTTGCCAGTCATAGATATTTTTAGTGTGCGATAAGGTTGTGCACACAAAGATTTCACTTGCAAGAGTCCCTAAGAATTGAAGGAATGTTGTCTAACAGATTTTGGCCATATAGTGCAGTTGCACTGCCAAATAGAACTGGCTTTAGAAAATAGTCATGGGTAGAGTCTAGCGTATGTGATGCACCACAGCTGAGAGGTTGGATAGTCCAAAGAGGCGGAGTTGTCATGGATTTGACGGCAGCATCATCACAGCCATTTGCGGGTGGGTAAAACGCAAGTATACCTTAAACTATCTATTGCAGCTCAGAACAGTTGCATAATATCTAGTGATGGCAGTACCTCAAAGGTCAGTGTGCCCTAAGAGTTTGTAGTTGCTATTCTTACTATGGTGGCTGAAATTTCGAGAAAGGTCGTGTTCCAATTGGGGGGGGGGGTTTACAAAGTTTAGATTTTTCCGCTCGTGAAAAAAAAGGCACTACGTATGCCATAGAAGTATCTTCAAAATTTAATCACATTCGTGTAGAAGATAGATGCGCTGCTCCCCACTCATACTGGACACACTTCAATTGCAAAAAAATTAAAACAGCTATCTCCAACTCTGTTTTACTACAGTAAGATGTGTACAACAAAAGTAATAGATGTGACTATAAGTAGTAGGCAAACATATGATATGTGAGGTAGAGAACAAAGAAAGAGAACGCCAAGTTGCAAAGCAGTTGGAAGTTCAAACAGTATAGGGTGTCCCGAAAAATGTACCGAAAACTCTAGTCGCTAATAGCTCTCTTGTCTAAACAACTACCAAAAATCTGTTCACGCTATCCAAACTACTCTGAACCATGTACAGTCTTGATAAAATAAACGGCTTCATTTTCCAATCACAAAAGGTTCAAAATTTTTTTTACTCTTTCTGAGATGGCGGCTGATTTGCACGACATTCGCGGAAGTTTCTATCATAATCGTACATTAGCAAAAAGCAATGAGTGATTCGTGTTTTACTGTGAATCTAACTTGAAGCCAGCGATATGCTACCTAGAGTTCCGAGTGCTGCAGAGGCTAGAAGGTCATTAGCCGTAAATTCGATACAATTTTTGAGGCACCCTGTACAGGCGATTCATTGTCTGCAGAGACACGGCGCCATTGCGGACCCAGCTTCTCTCAAATGCCCTTTTCACCACCTTCGTCTACATTCTCTAGATGAACTGTCTTAGATCGAAGCGATTGCGCTGCGCGTAATGACTCGCCGAATGTATTTGATTCAACTGGCTTGGCGGCTGGAGGCGGGGCTTTGTGATCTAATTAAGCCCGCTCGAGCCCGCGACGCAGTCTGCGTCTCTCTCGTGCGCGTGATATTTGATTATTATCTAGCCTTGATTGGGTCACGAAGCTCCACCTTCCAGCTGCCAAGGCGGTTGAATCAAAAGGTATGTAAGTGTCCAGAGTCGCCGTGTCCGTAATTGTGCCAGCGCCATGTCAGCGCAGTGCCAACGCCGTGCCGGAACCCGCTTGTGTACGTATCCGTACCGTATTTACTGGTCAACGTTCCGGCACGATGCTGGCGCAGGAAACTATGGACGCAGCCTAGGGAAAATGATGAGAGTTTATAGGTGCAATATACGAATGGAGTAATGACGGATCGCGTTGATTCATTTCCTAGCAGACAAAGGTTCGCCAGTTGCATGACGAAGAAACCCATTTTGACGTCCTATGTCGGCTAAGTAGTCTGCATAGCTGGAAAGAGAGAGAAGAGAATCATCTCTCGCTCATATCGATATTTGTTACCTGCGTTTCCTTCTCCTGCAAGCATCTCTTGGCCAATAATGCCATATGTATAGTCCACACACAACAAGAAATACTATAATTGTAAGAAAAACGAGAGGACTATACGAATTGAAAACCATTCGAAAGAGAAAATCTTGAGCTGAAATTAGCAGCCTTGCTGTTACTGTTCGCAAACCACTGATCGGTTACACCTTTTACTCACCAACATGACAGGCGAGCTCGTCGTTACCGTAGGGACAGTTCTTTCGGCCGTTACAAGCAAGAGATTGTGGCACACAGTTGTCATCTCCACAACTGAACATTTGCTTCGATGAGCAGTTTTTCACTGAAATCATAAAATGAAGTGAAAGCAAAGCACCGAATACTTTATGTGCACCTTACAACGTCGTTCAAAAACTATTCGTTGAGAGCTAGCAGCTCACAAGTTTACTCGCATCACTCAGGATGCGTCCAGAGTTGTTCTCGTGCCAATGTCGTGCTAGAGCCCACAAGAACGCACCTCGTATTGATTGGTCGGCGCCAACTGGGTGCTGACACAGGCAACTCTGGATGCAGCCTCACCCTAGCTTAAAATTACCATTCTGCCTGAAGCTTGAACTAAAGTGCGGTTCATAATTATACGAACACCCAAAATTTTGTAAGTTTTTGGACTTTTTGGGAGAAACAGAAAAAGCCGTTGATACCACGCGATAGAACACAGCCGAAAACGGTATATGATTCATAAGAATGGAAATTAATGTCAATCTTAGGAGTGTTTTTGCGCTTAATGCGAATTTTTAGCGGTTCATAATTATACGAACACCTCAAACAAAAGTCCATTTCTCTTCAAGATTGTAATCATTTGAGTTCAAATTTTTTGTAGAGTTACAGTAACAAAGTCTGACATATCTGCTACACACTGAACCCAGTACAGTTCAAAAAGAGGACCGTTGCTTTTTTCAGAAGGCTCTAAATGCTTTTGGAGTGACTGTGCTCCAAAAACATCCGTTCTTCTGTGGTTTACGCGCTTTAAATAGCTTTTACCAAAACTATGAGATAAAATAGGATCTTTCGATAGGTATATTGTTTGACGCTTGGAAAATCTTTGCGCTTTCGTGCCGTTTTTCAACCAAGTTCCAACCTTACCCTAGAGTTAGCACGATTTCGACCCTCAAAACTCAGCTTCTGAAGCCGACAATGAAGTAAGCATATAGTATGTAGAAGTTCACAAGACTATATATTTGGCTAGAAAAAATCAGCAGCGTTGAGCGTTTGTTTTGGCCACGCAGACGTCATTTCGCCAAAAACACTGTTTTTACTATTGCAGTCACACCTTTATTTGGTTTGTAGCTCCACAGCCTCAAGATCAGTTCTACAAAAAACCCAAAAACTTTGGCACAGAAACATCATCATGCAAACAATGCAGCTGCTTCATATTAAATGTTTGCACAAGAGAGAAGCTGAGTATTGAGGCTCGAAATCGTGCTAACTCTGTGGTAAGGTTGGAACTTGGTTGGAAAACGGCACGAAAACGCAAAGATTTTCTAAGCGTCAAACAAAATACCTATCGAAAGAGCTTATTTTATCTCATAGCTTTGGTAAAAGCTATTTAGAGCGCGTAAACCACAGAAGAACGGATGTTTTTGGAGCACAATCACTCCAAAAGCATTTAGAGAATTCTGAAAAAAGTAACGGCCCTCTTTTTGAACTGTACTGGGTTCAGTGTGTAGCGGATATGTTAGACTTTGTTACTGTAACTCTACAAAAAATTTGGACTCAGATGATTGCAATCTTGAATGGAAAATGGACCTTTGTTTGAGGTGTTCGTATAATTATGAACCGCTAAAAATTCGCATTAATCGCAAAAACACTCCTAAGATTGACATCAGTTTCCCTTCTTATGGATCATATACCATTTTCGGCTGTGTTCTATCGCGTGGTACCAACGGCTTTTTGAGTTTCTCTCAAAAAGTCCGAAAACTTACAAAATTTTAGGTGTTCGTATAATTATGAACCGCACTTTACAAAGGTTGACATTATTTCTGACTTATTCGAACGTACGAGAACTTTGAGAAATGAGTTTTCATGCGAAGGTTCTTGATATTATGCGCTGAGTCCCACTTTTTTCATCTGCTCCCAAGTGATCCAAAGTGGCTGCGTATAACGTGAAGGAAAACGAAGAAAATATTGGGTTGGTGCAAAAATAATGAGCGTTTTTCTTGCTCCTGTCTTAGGACGACTTTTTTTCATCAAAACTTCTTCTTTAAATCAGATGTAGCATACTATCAAGAAGCTCTTTTTATGCTCTATCTAATAATCGTTGAAACACTCTTCTAGCATCATTTGTAAAAAAACTCACAAATTTACATAACCGCACTTGAAAACAAAACTTTGATGCATCTAATTTACTGGCCAGAACTCGCGGGCGAACGATGACATTCTCTCGAAAATTCAGCTTCTGCATATGGTGAAAATTATCTATGTTACACACTTAACCATATTTTTTGAAATCACCTAAGGTGGAAATCGACATTTCAACATGGGTAATCGGTCATTGCGGTCACTCTGTAGCCCATGAATTTCTATTGGTCTATAATCGTAAAGATAAAGCCTTTTACTGATAGTTTTTTTTGCAAAAACGTTTAGCTGTTCAGCACAGAGAAAATCAGTAATTTCCATAATTTGGATTCTGGCGCCTGTGAAAAAAAATGTTGAAAATGACAAGTTTGAATTTAGTTTTTCTTTTCGCAAATTTTCTTTGACCAAGCCCTTTTCATCTTCATTTATACAATTGGGTTATGGCTACAAGACAGGCAACTTATGAATTATACTGACAAACTTTGAGAGATATGACTTGACAAAGAGAGATTTAAAAAAAACTTTCTGTTCTTTAATCCATATTTTTCTATTTATGATATGAGTACATTTGGAAGTGCGCTATATTGCGGAAGCTTTGTTGACATGGTGGTCTTGATCGCATTGAAGAATCAGACTTTCCAGGAAGCTCTAACACGTCAAATTGAGAACTCGCAAAACGCTCATTGAATACTTTTGCATCAACCTGATACTATCCATTCGAACTTGCGCGTGAGATTTAACAGAATGGAGAAGTTTGCAATGGGATTTCTCATGCGCGAATGTTGTCCGCTGGGGCACTATATGTACAGGATCCCAAAAATATCCCCATTTTTTATGATAAGCAAGTTTTTGTGTCAATTCTTCTGGTTTCCAAGAAGATATTTGGGCTTGGCGTCGACTTACTGTGTATCAGCGAATCATCGATCACTCTCGTCTCAGAATGGATTACAATTGAAATTTTCGACTCCTCTGAGGTGAGAAACGCTTAAAGGGATCTTCCCAAGATTCATAAGGAGGGCACTCATTAAGCTAAAGCGGATTATCGTGATAAGATTCAACATCTTCGAAATAAGGGGTTGATTCCTCTCAGCTTTTCTGGAAAGATTATTTTAAATGTTTATGATGTACATACCACAAACGAGTCGAAAGCTTCTACCGTAACCCTGCAGTAACAAAGAGTGACATATTCCTACACTAGCATGCTATTTCACCTAACAGTAAGTGAAGTTTCTCATATTATCTCAAGAGGTAAGTTACATTGAGACAAAAGAGTTATACATTGCCAAACAGTGGCATACGCACATCATAAGCAGATCCTTGTGAAATAACGTTTTTGATATGTGCCAAAATCTTGAAATAATTGCCACTGGAAAACTGTAATTTCACGCACTCAGCTAACGCAAGGAGAACCATTATTTGCCAACCGTGTAGATCACCCAAAAAATCTTACATTTTGCATATGATGAGTACAGGGCTGATATAGAGGTGTTGCTGATGCGATTGGCATCATCGAGATAGAATCGAATGTACATAATATGATGAGCAGAGAACACTGGTGCTGCTGTCATTCCGCAGTACCTCAAAGTAAATTATTTGAACTTTAAATCGCATGCAAAATTGTTCCGGCTCACCTTCTCGCAGGCTGATCGGAAGTGGTGCCCGAAAAAACCTCGAAAAAATTGTGTCCGCAGTGATTTGGAAAATAGAGAGAAAACTCGTCAAAGTACAAGACGATACTGTACTCGGATGGCACTTCAATCAGCCACACACAGTCAAGTGGACCGGTGTAATTGTGGGGCTGCAAAAATGACATCGAATCTATTCCTCTTAGTCAAAATTTGAAGCATACCAATCCAGAAGTCAGAGTTTTTGTCTCGATAACTCCATCAAGAGCATGTCGGTATTGGATCTCGCAGTCTAGAATGATATGTGGAAACGGTAGGCTGAAAGTTCTGAGGAAACCAGGAAATTTTTTTACGTCGTCAGAAAAGGTTGGACTGCTACAAATGTTTAGCTTAGCTGACTGGATGGTTATAATTATGGTTTCACCAGTAATAAACTTAGAATTAATTATTATTTCAGAGTGAGATTTTGTGTCGTACATCTGCCAGTTTAATCTTTACCGATACTTGGAACATCTTTGGAACAGTTTTCATGTAATGATTGCAATGAAGAGTGCAGTTGATTCTCTGCTACAATTTCCACAAAACTTTTTTGAAGTTTGAACTTCCTAGGCTCTAATAAGAGGCAAACCTTTCCCAAATAGTCTTCTTTTGCTGGCTTTGGTTGATAACGAGGAGGCGGAACGCTGACAATATGTAATAGGGGGGGGAGGGGTGATTGGGCCGTACTGTGAGCATAGTATATCATGCAAGTTATGTAAGCTTGGCCCCAACTATTTGTTCAAACGGGTAAACAAGGTTACCTTTGTAGAAGGAACCGTGAGGGTTGAGCCTTCGATCCGTAGAGCGCACCATTTCATAAGTAGCGTAAAATCCTGTGTACTCTAATAAATCGTCAGAGCGAAAGCGAATCCAGAGAAAACCTAAACAGGGCTTTAGTGACAAAGTAGTTAGGCAGGATTGAGTGCTCCAGCGATTTGCATGGAAATCTACCCGATCTCGCGCGGATCTCCATCTTCGGAGTGTCCATCCCACAAAATCGGCCGATCACTGGGGAAAAACCATAACGTCCATCGCGAAATTCCTGGATTAGGTTTTCTTGGCTACTGATATCAGCATAGGGTTATGATTATTGTTGTGAGTTAGTGAGGCTGACTATCAACTAAAAATTAAAAGTTGAATTTTTCTTCATTAGAGATGAGCGGAAATAAAACAAAAACTTCTACTTCTTTTCTCGTGAGTTTTTATCTGTGGAAAAGTATCCTGTTTTCGCTCTAATTTTTGCGATCAGCTCCGCAAGAGGCGACGAAAAGAACTTACTATAAAATCGTTCGGACAGTTGGAAGTGACTCCTTTCTCCTCCACATTTTTTTCAATGTCATATGAGGTTTCAATCTGGAAGAAAATTCTGTATTTTTACAATGAACAGTCTACATAGCTCGCAGTGAGGTTACCTGAAAATGATGATGAAAATTTACGAGTATATCGAATCCTGGCCTAGCCTGAATGACCCGTACACAGTCCAAGTTGGACGAATAATGATTTGGGTAATTGGGGCTCGTGAACGAGTGAAGCGATGGTACACCTTCGCCACGTATAGAGCCGCACCCGTCGTCAGCAGAGTAAGCCGAGTCCACTAAAATGATGAATAAACTCTTTCCACGGGTGCAAAACTGAAGTGCTCACCTATCAGTGGGAGAATGCATAAAATTAGCATAGACAAGAAATGTCACATGGATGCTGATACTGTACAATCTGCAATGGCCGTAACTTCTTTCCATTCAGGTTATTTTTAGCGACGAGCGACCGAAACATATAAGAGCAGCAGCTTACAGACATATCGTTCATTTTGGTCAACCACGAAAGTATAGGCCGTCCGCCTGCGCTCTGCGGGTAATAAAGCCGCGTTCGCACCCAAAGATATTGTTGCGTTTCCAAAATGAGCAGTGTATCATGTCGTTATTATGGAAAATTGCGCGTTTCAATTTTTCAAAAATAAGATAACGGATTGGAAGGAATGATTTCAAACATGTTGTTCGAGATTTTCTACGGTAAAAATCGTTATCAGCTTATCATTGCCAAAAGAGGAGCCAGTAAGATTTAAAACGTGTAATTCACTCAAAAATGAGGTTTTTTGATTTCCGATCACATAACTCAAACGATGCGATAGCAATGTGAAAAAGTTTTTCTAAAATGAATATGAAGCCAGTTAGTTATATCATTGCGTCACTTCCAGCGCAAAAATGCGTTTATTGCGCTCTGCCGCACACGCAAAAATTGACTTTTTCAGAAGCAAGCGGGCTGAATCCCAATTTGAGAATGAAAATCAAAAAAGCAGTTTTGTGAGAAGTTATTCCAGTGCGGCACTTCCAAGGCAAATCGCGTTTATGTCGCCGTACTGCACAAAAAAACTAAATTTTTCAATTTTCAAACATAGTATAGGATGCACCAGACCTGCTGGTTTCAAATATTTAAACCACATAGGTATAGGTGGAATTCGATAAGTGCGATCTGAAAAAAGTTATAACAATGCATCTCTTTCGGAGCATTATTGCGTTCGAAATGCAGTCTTGAAAAAGGGTATTGTCAGTGTAGTTTAATTTTTGAATGTACAAAATATTAACTTGCAGATAAGAACGACTATGAACAGCTTTTACTCTTACGGCCATGCGTAACCTCCCCCCCCCCCCATTCTCACTCTGTGTCTTCCACTGTAAGATATGTATCAAGTTAGCAAGTGGCCAATCCTTGTTAATCATCTTGCTCGTTTAAGATTCTTTTTGAGTGAATGGAACCTTTTGCACCAATCTAATAGCTAAAGCCAGCAATTTATTGCTGGCGCTAGCTATTAGGTTGGTGCAAAAGTAATGCGCGTTTTAAGAGTTCTCAATTTGACGTCCTATAATTTTTTAACAAATCCACATTTTCCAATGCGATAAGGACCATCAGACTGGCAGCAAAGCTTTCGCGATACAGCCCACATCCACTTATACTCATACCACCAACGGGGAGAAAATTATGGATTGATAAGCAAAAAAGTTTTTTTCTGAAACCTCGTTTTTAGCTAGTCATAACTCCCTCCAAGAGATTACCAAAAATTTCCAGCTCCAATAACCGATGTATAATGTGCTCGGCCTAGTATATAAAAAGTGATGCGTTACTTGAGAAGAAAGTAGATTTCAGTAATTTAAACTCATTTGATTCAGCAAAATTTCAGCGATGTTTTTAATATCTCAGGCCTCAAAGACAACGTTTATGTAGATCTGGTTACCCGAGTTTCATTTGGGAAACTTAATGAGGAGCTTTGGCTTAGTCGCTGCTTAGTGGCACTTCGTATGACTCATTACTATCAACTGAACTCTCAACTTTCACTCATCAACTCCGCTACATTCATGCGCTCCAATCAGCCCTCGAGTAGTTTACGGTCGAGCAGCAGCATAGAGCAGAATTTTACTTGACTAAAGTTATACATGCTACCACCGAAGTAATGGATGGTGGGTCAAGTGAGGAATGACTGTTTCAGAAGGCTAGATATCCAGATTTGCATAGATACCCCTTTGCGCTCCTCTATTCCAGACTTGAGAAAAGTGATTAACAGCTCCTCCCTCCTGAAGTGAGAGGACCCATTAAAAGTTGCATTTACATACAAGAATGACTAATTTACAATGGGAATGTTCTCGTAAAAAAATAGCAATATCACATCTATATTATCGAACCACACATTGCGCTTGCATAGTGGTGAAGCTTCTAATTGCTTCGCTATGAAAGTTCAACAGCCTTTTCTGTTCTCAAATAAAATTATTTCCACTCAAAATATACTATGACACAGTTGCAAATCTCACTTAGTGGTTTTCATTGAGGAAAGTATGTAAACAAAACGACGGAATATAGGAGATATTGTTTCAACCTAATATTACCTTATGTCAACCTCGAGGAAAATACATGCTGATTTCTACCTTGTGTCCTCGCTTTAGCATGCATATTTCTATTTTGAATATTCATAGTGATAATGTAATTCTATATTTCACTACAAAACTGTGCAATCTGTCAACTTTCGAAATCAGGTCGCGTTTAGGTTGTTAGCCCATCAAAAATGTCTAAAAAACTTCGACAAAGCATCTGCACAAGCTTGAGCAGCTCTTGTATAAAGCCACATTACATAGTCTTGGAGCAAATTGAGTGCGAATTGGAGCTTGGTTCTTGATTTTGATAAAAAACGCCCTCGCTTTTTTCAGAGCACATGAGCTGCAGCTTTGAGTTATGCTCTAATGGCTGAAAAAGTGTAGTGAACTTGAAATCTTTGTTCTCTGGAGACTCTTGAAGGCTTTTGAAATCTCTATCAGGCCTCATAAGAGGGATATGAGGGTTATCTTGACCTAGGAGAAGTGGCCTTTTGGTTGAAGTGGCCTTTCTTAACGAAGTCTAGTCTGTTGTGAGGAGCATTGCACGCTGATTCCGATCGCTTTTGGACGCTGAGCCATGAGTGTTTTTGGATGTCACAAAAGCAGGCAAAATTTGAGTAAAAACAATCTTTTTGGTTCCCTGAGCTCACAATTTCCTAATATCCCACAATTCGGCGTTTAGGGGAGCTCGACAGATAACGAAAACAGATTTGGAATTAGCTTTTGATCCTCTTAAAAGTAGTAAAGAGTTTACATAGACTAAAAACTAAACTACTAAAAACTTCCTCTTTTAGTCAAGTGAATGCATCTAGAATGGTCTATCGTTAGAAATTTCTCTTTTTCATTTCTCGGGGTAGCAAACGACAGTGTATGAAACAACGTCGTCTAGCTTCTGAAAATTTTATGACGCTCAAAAATGATGATGTTACTTAATTGAAGATATTACGAAGATCAAGGCTACAAAATAGCTAAGTGACTGAAACACTTGTCCACTTGAATCACTCTTCACCAGGTTCTATACATAGAGCTAGTTTTCCAATTTACCATTCAAAAGCAAGAAATCTTGGAATGTTAATCTCAAGTTGCCCAACTTATGAGCTTTTCTATGCTCGTTTATGTAGCTCTTACGTTAAAAGGCTACTGCCGGATTAAGGACACAGAACACGGACACATATTATTCTAATTTTTTGGTTATTAGTGGTATTTTTGGTTTATAAAGTTGCGAAATCCAATAATAAATGCAAAATAACACATCATGTGTTGGATGCAATTTTGTTTCCTCGTGATCCAGAGAAAAAGAAGGGGACCTGTTTCCGAGTCAAGACATTTGCAATCGAGAATGAAGGGCTGTGAAATCAAGTCAATGGTAAGAAGGATCATGTTATGAATCTAAAGTTCATTATCCTGGCTCTCTCAAAGTGCATCTTAATACTTATGATGATAGTCCTAAAATGAAACTGCTTGTTTAATGATACACTCAAAGCTAGGGAGTGGTCTGTTCCTCTTGTCTTTTGTCCACGATAGAAAGTTACTCTGATGAAGTTATTTGGTCTTGATCATGAAGTTATTCGGTGTTAAGTCTTACAAAAAAACTATGATAAATTTGCTTTAACAGCCTATGAAAAATATTTCTATTTCTCTCTAATTTTTTTGTATTGCATAATATTTTCTATCATATCATGAATATTGAAGATCCTACATATTGGAGAGTTGAATAAATGTCGAATAAAAAGACGCTCAAAAACATAGCTTTTTGGAGGCTCTGGCAGGCAAAAGTCTTTCTATTGGAGAGTGAATTATTAAATCATAGAAAAGGATAAAAATAGATTCTGTTGGGTTGTTACATAAGTTTTGTTACACTCAACTGAAAATCCTCGTAACTTTGTCGAATGATTTTTTTCTTATCTCCAAACTATGTGTGGTGTTACAGATATTTGATATATACACGTCACACATAAAAATCAAAATTTCAAACTTTTTGAAGTTTTTTCGATATTTTCGATAAATTTCCAAATCTGGTTATTAGTTCAAACTTTCACTGCTATCATTACCAATGCTCCAGTAGTCCATAAGAAATATAAAAAAGAGAAAAAGAAGAATAAGAGATTTTTTAAAAAGTAAAGAAAAAAATGGAGGTTGGAGTGCCCTTATAGAGTTGCCATTACATTCACAGTCACTCATGTCTTAGGGGCATAAATGGTGCCAGCAGATGGCCCTTTCATTCTTTTCCCATGTATGCCAAATATGAGGCCTTGCCGAATTTTCTGAAGTTATCTAGAGGAAGACGAATAAAGTGTAACAAAACCTATGCAACAACCTAATACACCATTTAGCATTTTTAGTGACTAATTTGATTTAATATTTGAGTGTTTCTGGCTTGAATCGCAATGATATGCCACGCTGATTTTTGCTCCGAACTGTGAAGAAAGCACATAGTTTCTTTCTCTGATTATATTATGCACTGAACCGAGCAATTTTAGAATCTGAAGAGAATTACGATTCAAAAATGGTGGAGACTTATGGACCTCGATAAACTTGATCGAAAAAAGCTGATAATTGCTTATGAGAGGCCTATGAATACTGCGAAACCTTTATAAGCTCAAGTTCAAAAATGAGAAGTCAGCTGATTCAGTGTAAGGTGAGGTGGAGGAGATCAACCTGAAAGTTCGGAGCTTGAAAAGCGTGCGTGTGTTTCTATTGAAAGCCGGCCAGACGTCTTTTGTTCTCTCACGACTTAGAAAGCGAAGATGGGAGGTTCTTGTGCCACCTAATCGAATCGGAACTTCCTACCCTCGCACACCTTCGCCATAATAGT